GGGGAGGGGCTGGATTCCCCCCTCCCAGCTCCAATCCGCCAGCGCTGACTGGGGGAACGGATGGGGGAGGGGGCGGGTACAGCTGGCTCTGACTCTAGATAGGCAGAGCCAGCTGTCTGATAGGCAGAGCCAGCTGTCTGATAGGCAGAGCAGCTGGGCGGATCCCGGCATAATTGTCGGGATCCGCTTCAGCTGCGGTGTCTCAGTATACCGCGAGCTGCAGCTCAAGGGGGATTTATGAAAATTGGAGCAGATAGGTTACTATGTGCAATTGTTCCAGATTCTATCAACTTCTATCTTCAGTTTGTTCGGCAAAGCATTGAAAATAAAAGAAGCTGATTGGTTGCCATGTACAGCTGCTCCACATTCTGTCTGCTCCAGTTTTGATGAATTCCCCCCAATGAGTCATCACAGAAGTGACTCCTCCTTTATCACAGATAAATCAGACAAAGTCAGCTGCAAAGCAAGCTACACAGCCGGGCTGTCTCTTTAGTTTAACCATTGTTCTTTGGGAACCCTTTATTATGTATTCAACGTTTATTGTAAAACTGACTCAAAATGATTATAGTTCTCCTTTAAAGAGTTTTATTTTTACTTTTACAGTCCTGCCTTCAAGCACAATGAAAAACCAACTATATCTGGCAACAAGGAGAATATGATTGATTTTTTTTCAGAATTAAGGTGGCCATACACTTTACAACCATCGCAAGACCTTAGTCTTGCGATGGTTGTAAAGTAATTTAAAAAAGTACGATCTGCCCATCTTGGACAGGCAGATCGTACTTGCGATCATCGCAAGCCGCGCCCCCCTGAGGGGCGGGCTTCCGATGACCGCTGGTTTTCCAGCATGCTCCTTAGACAAAAGACGTGCGACCGTACAGTAAAAACGGTCGCACGCCTTCCGTACACTTTGCGATTATCGTACGATCGCGGGATTTCCCGCGATTATCGTGCGATAATCACACAGTGTATGGGCACCTTTACTCTGTTTGATAAAAGTAGAGCTCAATTTTTGAGGACCTGGAAATGAGAGATCCTGGTGATCGTCAATACTTACAGTGAGGGCCACAGATCCCAACAGGAGTATTACTGAGTAGACAATTCCTTTGCTGTTAATCTTCACCTGTAACAAAGAAGCCACATGTGAAATTTCAAGTTTGTTTTTGGGAGGGGGCAGGGCTGAGTTTGATTTGAAGGTTTGGGGGTTATGTTTGGTTTGAAGGAGGGCTAGGTTAGTTTTATTTTTGGGTGTGGGCAGACATTAATTTGGGGTAGGGGAAGAACTACATTTGGTTTGGGGGAGGAGGAGAGCTAGATTTGGTTTAGGGTGGACAGAACTTGATTTGGTTTGGGACTGAAGGCAGGGCTAGGTCTGGTTTGGAGAAGGGCGCGGGGCAGAGTCAGTTTAGGGATAGGGCTAGGTGTGGTTTGGAGGTGGGAGCAGTGTAGTTTTGGGTAGGGAACAGGCCTCTACTTAGTTATAGGTGTGGTTTGGGGTGTGTGATCAGGGTATTTTTGGGGAGGAGCAGGGCTAGGTTTAATTTGGAGAAGACCAGGGCAAGTTTTGGTTTGGGGAAGGGCCAAGGCTGAGAACTTTCAGAAGTATGATGAGAAGGACAAGGAACAGAACGAAGAGGAAGACAAGGAAAAGGAAGAGGAGAAGGACAAAGAGGAGAATATGGAGGCAGACAAAGAAAAGGGATGAGAGCAAAGAGAAGGACGGGGAGGAGGACAAGGAAAAAATTGAGGAACAGGACAAGGAGAAGGATGAGGACAAAGAGTAGAACGGTGAGGCAGACTAGGAAATGGATGAAGGCCAGGAGGAGGACAAGGAGAAGGATGAGGACAAAGAGTAGAACGTAGAGGAAGACTAGGAAATGTATGAAGGCAAGGAGAAGGATGAGGAGGAGGACAAGGAGAAGGATGAGGACAAATAGTAGAACGTAGAGGAAGACTAGGAAATGGATGAAGGCAAGAGGAAGGATGAGGAGGAGAACAAGGAAAAAACTGAGGAAGAGGGCAAGGAGAAGAATGAGGATCAGTAGGACAAGCATGAGGAAGAGGCAAGGAGAAGGATGATTAGGAGGACAAGGAAAAAACTGAAGAAGAGTGCAAGCAGAAGAATGAGGATCAGTAGGACAAGCATGAGGAAGAGGCAAGGAGAAGATCAGGAGGAGGAGACAAGGAAAGTATGAGGAGGACAGGGAATATGTTTCACCCCGTACCCAAATCTATAAATTATTCACATAGAAAAGTAGGTACTTGTGATAACAAGACTTACGGTTGATCCGTAGTGAATGACCATAGTCTGCAGTCCCCAAGGCACCCCGAGTCCAACCAGAATGTCAAAGACGTTACTTCCTATTGTATTGGACACCGCCATGTCTCCAAGACCTGAAAAGCAGACGTATCGGTCACTGCCTACTACACATGACGGCCACAATGAGAGACCTGCAAGCTTGTAAGCCAATTATATAACCAATATTAACATTTCATATCCTGCTCTTTGCAAGCTGTTCTCTCAGTGAGGTTATGGGGAAGGGGGTGGGCACAGACATAGCATAAGGACTAAAGTAAAAGGTATCAGTTGGTAGATCCGAATGCCAAAAGATCTTTCTGTAAATGTGCAACCGTACCTTGTCTAGCCACAATGAGACTGGCCATACAATCCGGGACACTGGTGCCTGCAGCTAGGAAAGTGATTCCCATGATGACATCTGGTATTCCCAGGGTGTACCCTATAACCGTCACCTGAATGGAGAGAAATCAGGGGAGTGCCAATCACAGACGTGTCAATATTTTGTGAGCTCATTAGAACTTAGAACGATCATGATGATGTTTTAGAGGGGGAGATGTTTTCCTGCACACAGTCAACTTCCTGTCAGTAATCCAATAGGAAGAAATATGGGGGACATTTCAAAATGTACTGCTAGTAGGGATCAATTAGTCAATCAGTCCCAACAGAACCTGAAAACTCACCATCCAGACCATGAAGTAAGAGAAGATGGCAATCCATACGGTGGAAAGCGCGAATGTTAACATGAAGAAGTTCTCCCAGCGCGGCTTGCTGCAGTTCGGAACGGTGAAGTACAGGATACAGATTAATGGCCAGGAAAACGCCCACTTGAACTGGTTCACACAGCCACCTAATAAACATGAAGCAGCAGACTGTCAGCTCTTTCAATTGGTGGGACAGACACCTTCCCTCTCTCCTAGCAGAGCCGGGACCATCTAGCAAAGTCAGTTATAGACAGGCTGCCAACAAGCACACAGGCAATGCAGGGCTTTCTTACTGGAAGCAGTACAACATGTTGCAGGCATAAGAAACCCACCTTGGAGGTCTGTCACTGAGATCTATAAAATGTACTTGCCAGTTGCCACACTGTTGTCTGTAACGCCGCTACTGAAGATGTGGTCTGATTTAAGAAGAATATTAATTATGAACTGGTTCCTTTACTTTGCAGGGGTTGCAATCAAAATTAAAGAAGTAGATCTGGTCTCAATCAGAAGCAGCCAAGAGGACAGTGTGGGAAGCAAAGCAGGCAGATTTCAGTGCTGGAACCTCAGAGGGGACACACTAAACATTGTATTTCATTAGAGATGACATGAGGATCTTACTGGGCACTGAGAAGGGCACCAGGTAGGTCGTGGCATCAGCCCCTTCTGGATATTCATCCTTGTCTCCATGTAACAGACCGTTCTCCAGCAGTTCCTGCTTGCCATCCAGTGTCATGGAGCTCACGCCATTTGCAGAGTGGAGGAGTCGCTGCCTCTGAAGAGAAAAAGGTGGAAACCAAGTGAGAAAAATATCTGGAAGCTCTGAAACGCCATTTGTGAGCCAGATCTCCTCATCCAACCTGATCTGAGTCACAAATGTTCTTTTGTCTGAATGGGCACAAACTCCCACCACAGATACACACCAAAATCCCAAAATCTTGTGGAAAATATTTCCAGAAGAATGGTGGGGGGGGGGGGAAGCCAACGGCCCCGGTTTGGAATGGGATGTCCACCAAGCTCATATAGGTGTGATAGTCAGGTGTCCACATGCATTTGGCCATAGAGTGTACACAAGCAATACCTCGTTAATGATCAGCCGGCTTGCCATACGTAGCCGCGTTCGTGGTGGGAATTTGTTGGTGATCATGATCCGTAACCCAGCTTCTGGAAAACGGTATTTGGGAGGGCTGGAACAGATGATCTCATCCACCATCACCACAGAATTTTGGGTGTATAAATGCTGGTCTGTCTTCACTGTTCACCGGAAGAGAACATTCATATTCATTAGAAAGAGACGTGGTAAAAAAAAAAAACAGTATATCGAAATGACAACTTCATACAAAAGAACAATAAATAGCATTTTCACAATCACGTAAGGGCTTCACGGGGGCATCAGAACTGATTCTGATTGAGATAATACATTGGTTATGGGGAGATGAAACTGAAATTCTGTCCACCGAAAGACACTATAGCAGCCTCCTTTAAGCCTAAAATGATGAGTGGGTGATATCTCTACAGATACAGAGCTTCCACATAAATACAGTGCCAAAGGGAGGAAAGCCAAATGCACCCAACACTGATATTTAATTCTGTCAAGCTGAACCACAAGTCGTCTTCTTGTATCTCTCAGGAATACTCCAGCGGCAAGGTCTCCCCAAAGGAATTCCCAGCTCCGCTCAAATAGCGTGCCCATTTCAAAGATGGTGCCACCCTACCCTAGTGGATCCTCTGTAATATAGAATGAACAAATAACTGGGATATCCATTTGCATTTGATTGACACTCCTGCTGCGGCCCTGTGAGAGGGGTGGAGACAAAAACAGGGGAAGACCGCCAAAGGAGCCTCTGAGAGATATAAGGATTCTGTTGTTGCCCCCTAAAGATTGTAATGATCAGTCATCCGTGGAGCAGACCTTTCATAAAATGTAGGAAGTTTTACCTTTCTGATGAAGTAATAGAGTTAGTAGTCATGCAGGTTAAACAGCAGACATGAGCGTATAGGCTTGATAAGATTAAGCAGACAGGAGGGAAGAGAGGAAAAGTTAAACAGGAAGTTTCAAAAGAGATCTTATTGTTGCAGGTCAGACAGCACAATATTCATTTTTTTTGCTACCTGCACCTACTGTGATCAATGCAACTGGAGAGAAGGAACCCTAAACCTTCATTTCAGACCACGTATGGCCAACCCCGGGCAAAATGCCCAGGGTTTCAGCCTATTGATTTGCTGGAAGCCAATCACATGGTGGAAGACTTTGTTATGTCATTGGCTTGAATAATTCGATAGGCAGCATTCTCCGTGACTTTGGCTGGAGTCATGAAATCCTGGCCCACAATGATGACCAGCAAAAACGTCCCCAATTATATTAGTGGTGCTACATACAGGAAAGATTACTTACAGTAAGTTGTGGAGGGAGGCAGAGAGCGGATGAGGACACGAATACATGAGAGGTTATAGAGCCGGCACAGAGGACATTCACACGTGTTACTTTGTACCCAAAAAAACAACAACAGGTTAATAAGAGTTAATAAGGTCGGTGCCAAACGAGAGATAGAGAGAGACAGAAAAGGAGAGAGAGAGGTGGGGGCAGAGATGGAGAGAGAGATAAAGAGGGAAAGAGATGCAGAAAGAGAGAGAGGGGGGGAGTGAGCTACAGAGAGAGAGAAAGATATATAGTGAGATGCAGAGATGGAGAGAGATAAAGAGAGAAAGATGTGCAGAAAGAAAGAGGGGGGAGGGAGAGAGATACAGAGAGAGAGAAAGGGGGAGAGAGAGGTGGAGAGAGAGAGGGAAAGAGAGAGAGGGAAAGAGAGAGAGGGAAAGAGAGAGATGTGCTTCTATGTAAACCCCCAACAATGATCTCCTCTTGATTGCTCCAGTTTGCTCTGTTATATAAGCCATGAAAAGTGTTTTGTTATATCTGTCCGAGAAATGCAAAACAAATAGCTGTGTTTGTATGTAACACAAATTGTTAAACAATGAAAATTATTATTATTATTTTTTGCTGGCTAGCTAGTAAGTGTGCTTGGAATTATTTGCATTGTTTGTTCTATATTAAAAAAAAGGAATACCTGCTGAAAACTTCCCCTATGTTGTGGAGATGAGGAAGGGAGGAGGTGTTCTGTCCTAGGGTGACAACACTGCTTCTCCATAGGTACATTACAGGTGAAACTCGAATAATTTGAATATCGTGCAAAAGTAATTGCAGTAAGTGCTGCAAAAGGGGCCCAAACCAAGTACTGAGTACATATGCATGCTTGTACTTTTCAGAGGTCCGATATTGTTCTATGTACAATCCTTGTTTTATTGATTGCATGTAATAATCTACTTTTCTGAGGTTGTGGATTTGGGGTTCTTGGGGTTTTCATGAGCTGTAAGCCATAATCATCACAATTATGACAAATCACGGCTTGAATTATCTTGCTTTGCATGTAATGAGTCTCTCTCATATATTAGTTTCACCTTTTAAGTTGCATTAGTGAAATAAATGAACTTTGCACGATATTCTAATTATTCGAGTTTCACCTGTACAGTCAGTGAAACTTGTCAGCCTAGGATGGGAAGCTTCAAATCCCATTATCGCTCTGCCTCTGGGTGTCATGCCTGTGGCTGTCAGTCTTGCAGTGCCTCACTGGCCTCGCTCTTGAGTTTGCCTACCCCTGATCTAGCCTTACATGCCATTATCAAACCTCCAGTGTGATATTCATACAATGATGTCATTTATTATTTTGTCATTTTCTCAGGTTTTGTTGATTTTTCACATTTAATAAGTGTTATCATGCTGTTTATACAGACAGAGGTGCAACATTAATTCTCATATATAACATGTAATTCCAGGTTCTGCCACTAGGTGGCGTGTGTTATGTTGAATCCTTGTGTAATGTAACGTTCCTCCTAGTGCAGGGGTAGGCAACCTCGGCTCTCCAGCTGTGCTGAAACTACAAATCCCATACGGCATTGCAAGCCACAGGCATGACTCCCAGAGGCAGAAGCATGATGGGATTTGTAGTTTCAGCACAGCTGGAGAGACAAGGCTATGATGTAACCAGTCTCTGTGTCTCCAGTAACAGGGGCTCAGCCACGTGTCCGGCATGTGAAATGACGGGAGTCGTATCTTCAGCAGCTTTCCCACAATAAGCGAGCAATATAAAATGTAACAGAAACATAAATAAATCTCGAGGAGCACAGCGCTGCCACTTCCTCTGCGACCTATTGGCAGTTATCTTTCCCGCTGAATTGCATTTTTTCAGTTTCCCCATTTTCGTCCTTTACATCTTTCTTTTTAGAACTATACGCTTCTGTGGGTGCTGACGCGCTTCTCAGACCGTGAGGATGTCAGTTGTCAGTATGGTGGTTGGCAATAGTTTGCTGCTTTGTGCTCGCTTAGTTGCTGCTTTTTTTTAATTTCAGTTTATAATATCTCTGTGAACGCTCGTTGCATTTTAGGGCCGGTGCTGCAAAACTAAAATGAGGAAGTGAATACTGTGTCAAGCGGCAGCAGGGAAGCTGATAGGAAAGCTGTCACCCTCATGTACAGGTGAAACTCGAATAATTAGAATATGGTGCAAAGTTCATTTATTTCACTAATGCAACTTATGCGGTGAAACTAATATATGAGACTCATTACATTTTATACCCACATAAAAAAAGGTTTGGAAATCTTTAAAATTAAAAATGATGATGAGTTGATGGCCTTCCATCCATTTTAAAGATGTCCAAACCTAAAATAACTTTTATACCGATACAAAATAGGTTCAGGCATCTCCAGAGCGAATAAGGGGATCACCTCATCATCGTTTTTAATTCCAAATTTATTTTTGTTTGGGTATAAAAGTTATTTCTTTCAATTTTGTTATGTTACATATTACATTTCAGCCCCCCCCTCCCCCTCTCCCCCCCTCCCCGGTGAAGGGGGTGGAGTACAACTTTGGCTTTGGATTCTGTACACATTTTGCTTTTGGAATAAACTTTTTGGAATATATATGCACTTTAATATGAGGGTGTGGCGAATCAGTTCTAGGCTGAAATTGGGGTATCAGGCCCATGGGCTCCAATTCTAGGCTTTCCTCTTCACAGTTCTGGGTGATTGTGGAAATCTTTCGGCGTGCAGATGGATTTTGTACTATGATACGTGCCGGTCTCTCCAGCACCGTTATCAGTATGTGACATGACTACACAGCAAAGTTTTATTCAAGATATCACATGATATCAGGGAGCTTTCTATCTGTTTTGTAGTGCTGAGCAGAGATTTCACCCCAGGAGAGGAGCCGGTACAACTGTGCAAGACTGAAGGGAAGGATGGAGGTCAGATAGAAGACTGAAGGGAAGGACGGAGGTCAGATAGAAGATTGAAGGGAAGGATGGAGGTCAGATAGAAGACTGAAGGGAAGGACGGAGGTCAGATAGAAGACTGAAGGGAAGGATGGAGGTCAGATAGAAGACTGAAGGGAAGGACGGAGGTCAGGTAGAAGACTGAAGGGGAGGACGGAGGTCAGGTAGAAGACTGAAGGGAAGGACGGAGGTCAGGTAGAAGACTGAAGGGAAGGACGGAGGTCAGATAGAAGACTGAAGGGAAGGACGGAGGTCAGGTAGAAGACTGAAGGGGAGGACGGAGGTCAGGTAGAAGACTGAAGGGAAGGCCGGAGGTCAGGTAGAAAAATCACGGTGTAGGTTCCCCTAAAGTGCAGAATTGTAAATGGTCCAAAAGCTTTTCCTCCATCCTGATCACAATTATAGGCAGCAAATCTCAGAAAGAGTGCAGAGCGCCCCCTGCTGGATTTCACACACAGTTACTTTGCCATCACTTTGCAGCTCACTTGTGTTGTGATGCCGTGCTGTGTGGGGGCGCATTGCCTGCTACTGCTTCAGTGCATTTGGGTGCCATTTAAAATGACTGCTAACACCATGCACCACACCACGGTATGTGTGTTGCCATGTGCTGGGGTGATGGGAGTGCCCACTTGAGGTGTGGGCAGAAGAGGCTGCAGCCTTGGGCATGTCAGCAGTAGGGGGTGCAAGAAGGGTCAGAACGGCAACCTATGCTGCTGAAGTAGGTCGCAGGTCATGAGGGGCGGGGGGTGCACTTTGGCCTTGTCGCCTTGGACGCTAACACACCTCGTCCCGGCACTGACCACAACGTACAATGTCGATGGTCCCTGGATTAATTGTGCCCATTACTCTGATTGGTCAATGTCAGGTTGCCTTTTCTCTATTGATCACCTTTAACTGTATTAGTGATCACAAGATGGGGGAAAGTGATTGAAATTGCATGTGGGGTATGGCCGGCAATAGAAGTGCACTGAAGAGCAGCCAAGTGCAGTCACCTGTCGGCACAAACAAGCAGGAAGCAGAGGCTGCATATGTAATGAACATAATACGACATCCATTACTACAGGTACAAACTGTACACAGAAAAAAAGGTTTGTAAAACGTGAAATGTCATGGATACGATTCGTGACATAACGCGGACCAGGACATGAGAAGCAGGAAGTGGGTCACATCCCCGGCCCCCGGATCCCATTACTCAGTACCATGAGTGTCCATGACTTCTTCTGATATAACTTGTGATAGCTTCGCATAAGTCAAAGTCTGCTTAGTCTTACCTTTCCACAGGAGGGGTACGGAGGGGTCGTCGCACACAGAGTCACAATACACATTACCATCCTGCAGCTCGTTGCCGACCGTGCAGCCGTTCCCCAGGTTCTTCCGCTTTATGGTGAACAAGCGCTGCATCTTAGAGTTGTATCTGTGGAAGGAGAAGACGGAGTGAGGGATCCCGGAGAGGGAAGAAGATGAGAGGGAATGACGCAGTACAATCAATGAATGAATGTTCCGGTATTGTCTGCAATTAAAGTGTCTAAATTCATCATTTCAATGAATACAATCTAATTTCAGCTCTAACGTGTTCATAACATTTCCAGAGACATTTTCAGGCTTTTAAAATCTGCAGCTGATATTAGAATCAACTCTGGTGACCCTCCCAAGATGGTTCCTGTCCAGGCATTTCCTGTTATTGGGTGACAACGCTCTGTCCCTGTCTCCCAGTTGTGCCCCTGCGTTGTCACTTTGTCACACACGGGCTTCCGATAGAGACCACAGAGACACGTCAATAAAAGGAAAGTGGCCTGGTAAAAAATTCTGCAGCCAGCAGGGGGCGGGGCCGCGCCATGATCTGCAGATACAATATGACATCGATCTGATGGAATCCCGACATCGCAGAACCTCCCACTTATCACCACACCCTCCGCGTGTCTGATTACATGTTTATGCAAAATGACATTTTATTGTATTCACAGGCAGACTCGGGAGATTATCAGAAGTCATAGATACTCTGTGCAAATGAAAATGTTTTGTCTGGAGTTTCACTTTAACAGACAGATAGGAGAGAGAGAGAGAGAGAGAGAGAGAGAGAGAGAGAGAGAGAGAGGGAGAGAGAGGGGGGGAGGGAGAAGAGAGAGAGGACAGATGAGAGAGAGGGGAGGGGGGTGAGAGAGAGGGGGGAGAGAGAGAGAGAGAGATAGCTGTACTTCTATGGATATGTTTGCTGTTATATAAGCCATGAAAAGTGTTTTGTTATATCTGTCCGAGAAATGCAAAACAAATCCCCGTGTTTGTAACACAAATTGTTAAACAATGAAAATTATTATTATTGTTATTGGAATTATTTGCATTGTATGTGACAACGCTGCTTCTCCATTGGTACAATACAGTCTGTGAAAGTTGTCACCCTAGGATGGGAAGCTACAAATCTCATTATGGACAGATGGGAGAAAGATAGATAGATAGATAGATAGATAGATAGATAGATGATAGATAGATAATAGACAGTCAGGGTGGATATAGAGCGAGAATAGATTGCACACACACTGGAATGATGAAATTAGACGGTGGAACCCGCGGGGATCTTAATCCCGTACTCCTGGAATACAATGTGTCTAATCTTTGGTAATAATCATGTGATCCCACGCACCAGCCTCCGATTGGCTGGCAGAGATTACAGGCGCTTATCCCCTCAGGAGATGGACGTGCAGCGCTCACACTTTCAGACGCTATAACATCCACTCCTAATCAGACAGGTCGCCATTAACCCCTTCTCTGCCGGGCTAGAAGGGTCCATAGAGCGCAGCTGATCCACAATGATTTACAATTCCCCTCCTGCTAGACTGTAAACTCTCACGGGCCGGGCCCCCCTCACCCTATTGTACTGAAATTGTATTGTAACTATAATGTCTCCCCCATTTTGTAAAGCGCTGCGCACACTGTTGGCGCTCTATAAATCCTGTATCATAATAATAATAACTGCACCACCCGGCTGATGTGAGCAGTTTGTTTAAATTGCACAGTCTAATATAACACAGATCACCCCAGGGGCGGGGGGAGCTAATATAACACAGATCACCCCAGGGGCGGGGGGAGCTAATATAACACAGATCACCCCAGGAGCGGGGGAGCTAATATAACGCAGATCACCCCGGGGGCGGGGGGAGCTAATATAACACAGATCACCCCAGGGGCGGGGGAGCTAATATAACACAGATCACCCCAGGGGCGGGGGAGCTAATATAACACAGATCACCCCAGGGGAGCTAAAATAACACAGATCACCCCAGGAGCGGGGGAGCTAATATAACACAGATCACCCCAGGGGCGGGGGGAGCTAATATAACGCAGATCACCCCAGGGGAGCTAAAATAACACAGATCACCCCAGGGGCGGGGGGAGCTAATATAACACAGATCACCCCGGGGGCGGGGGGAGCTAATATAATGCAGATCACCCCAGGGGCGGGGGAGCTAATATAACACAGATCACCCCAGGGGCGGGGGGAGCTAATATAACGCAGATCACCCAGGGGGAGCTAAAATAACACAGATCACCCCAGGGGCGGGGGGAGCTAATATAACACAGATCACCCCAGGAGCGGGGGAGCTAATATAACACAGATCACCCCAGGGGCGGGGGGAGCTAATATAACGCAGATCACCCCGGGGGAGTGGGGAGCAAAAATAACGCAGATCAATCCAAGGAAAGCTAATATAACACAGATCACCCCAGGGGTGGGGGGAGCTAATATAACGCAGATCAATCCGTGGGAGCTAATATAACGCAGATCACTCTGGGGGAATGGGGAGCCAATATAACACAGATCACCCTGGGGGAATGGGGAGCTGGGGATGCTGGAGTGGAGTGTAGGGGCATCTGGCGCTGTTGTCTCCTGTGCACACGCAGCCACTGCTCCATGGTGGTAAAGTGGATGTAATTTCACTTTCATCTGGTTCAATCTGCAACTTTCCTAAGAATACTCCCCGACCCGGAGATCCTGCCATAAAAGTCCTTGTTCAGGCATTTCCTGTTATAGGGTGACAAATGCTCTGTCCCTGTCTCCAAATTGTTCTCTTGTGTTGTCACCCTGTGCCACATGCTGCTGATGGAGACTACAAGCATCCATTTACACACACGTCAGGCAGGCATGGGTCACCGTTGTCATCGTCAGCAAACCAGCCCTGAGAAATACCGTGCACCCATGCGAAGAGGCAGCAGGAGATCAGCAGCTCTGAGATGCAACAAAAAAATTACAATTTTTACGGTTACATCTACTTTAAATGTGATGTGAGTACTCTCAGGTGTGATTGTCGGTGTGGAATGAGATTACAGCAATTCCCGTTATTTTGAAACTGGGGGAAAAAATTTAAATGATACAGATCTGTAAAGACGGAGATCTCCATATCCCAGTGAGAAGACCCGGAATAATCCACCGTCGTCACAGATCTCCCTCGGCCTCTGAAAGGCATCGCCGGCTCTGCGGCACACAAAGGGTGTGCGATTTAGCCACGTATGGAATTAAACCCGGAGAAGCCTCTTACTGGCTGTTTATGACATAATCATCGGTTACGGTTACAGCCGAAATTAGATCCTTTCCCCAAATCTCAGTGAATTCACCTGACCAGAAAGAGTTACTTTATATGGAGGAAGAAACTTATATCATTGGCTGATACTAATGTAACTCCCACAGGGATGGAGGGAGCCCCTCATAATGGGCACAGCGGGTGTACAGACCCGGGGACTCAGCACAGGGATGGAGGGAGCCCCTCATAATGGGCACAGCAGGTGTACAGACCCGGGAACTCAGCACAGGGAGGGTGGGGGCCCCTCATAATGGGCACAGCAGGGGTACAGACCCGGGAACTCAGCACAGGGATGGTGGGAGCCCCTCATAATGGGCACAGCGGGTGTACAGACCCGGGAACTCAGCACAGGGATGGTGGGAGCCCCTCATAATGGGCACGGCGGGTGTACAGACCCGGGAACTCAGCACAGGGATGGTGGGAGCCCCTCATAATGGGCACAGCGGGGGTACAGACCCGGGAACTCAGCACAGGGATGGTGGGGACCCCTCATAATGGGCACAGCGGGGGTACAGACCCGGGAACTCAGCACAGGGATGGTGGGAGCTCCTCATAATGGGCACAGCAGGTGAACAGACCCGGGGACCCAGCACAGGGATGGTGGGAGCTCCTCATAATGGGCACAGCGGGTGTACAGACTCGGGAACTCTGCACAGGGATGACAATAAATGGACATGAAAAAAAAGAACTTACTTCATGATAAGAATGTAAAAGAGATACATAATTATTAGGATAAGACTCTCCCACCTGTAAATCAAAAAAGAAAACATTGTTAGAAACTAATTTCTGCATAAACAATATAATATATACACAATGACATATATATGTCTAGAGCGTCATTCCTGAAATATATGGGGCAGCATATAATAATCTGACCCGAAGTGCCGTGTGAATCATTGCTCCTCCCACCTGCGGACAGGAATGAGCTCGTACAGTCCCTCATTATGAATGAGTTGGGGGGAGCCAGCCAACATACTGCAGACAAAAGGGGTGGGGTTATCAGGGAGTGGGGTGGGAGTTAAATGGTCATGGGTGGGGCTTATTTAGCATAGGAAGCCTGACCTAATAGCTCCAAAATACTCTAAAGCAGTGATGTCCAAACTCCGGCCCTCCAGCTGTGTGGTGAAACTACAAATCCCATGAAGCATCTCTCTCCGGGAGTCATGTCTGTGGCTGTGAGAATTCGTAGTTCCACCACAGCTGGAGGGCTGCAGTTTGGATATCCCTGCTCTGAAGCCTTCCACATTTGATTAGAGCCGCCATTAGGTATCATATAATAATGGTAGCAGTACACAATCCCCTGATCTGTATTATTCTTCCAGGAAATTCCTTCTGACTTCCCGCAGGACAAGACGGAATAAAAAATGAGAAGCATGTAAACTATAACGAAAGGCAAACCCGGTCCGAACCTGAGCTCCTCCGAGCAATGAAGTGCCATGGGCACCTCCTACCAATCAGACCTTCCTCCTCCTGCAACTGCACATGACCAAAGGGGCGGCGTGCTTGTGCTGATGTCATTTACCTTGTATGGTCACATGTCATTGACCAAATACAGCCACGTGGCCATATAAGGTCAATGACGTCACTGCATCCTGCTCCTTTGTTATGTGTAGCTGCGGTTGTGCAATTCCCAGACCGCAGCTGACTCGATGGCAGCAGAAGGAGCTTCTTTTCCTTTTTCGGAGGAGCTCACCTTTGGACCAGGTTCCTTCTAAACCTGAGAACATTCCTGACAGAGGTAAAGTCCTTAGTAAAAGTAGAGGGAGCACTACTCCCATGCCCTTATGGAAGATCGGGTGCTGAACGCCAGCAGGGACTTGTCCTATGCCCCAAAAACTGCACAAATCCAAAAGAAAAGACCAGATGCAAACTGACGAATATTCAAAAGCTGGTAACTTTATTCATCTGGACAACATGAACAGAGAATCCTCGTCTGGGACCTCCTCCTCTGACATGTGCCACCCACAAGGCTGAGGAGGAGCAGGTAAGGAGAGACGTATATGGCAGTGGCATCACAAGGGGGGGACCCGCACCGGGTGACACCATCAGTGGGGTTGACACCAAAATGACTGACAGAATCTTATGTTTCTGGTTTCCTAAAATGTTACAATATGACAGGACACAATACATCCCCCCCCCCCCCCCGGCACTCCACCATCCACTCGCACTCT